TAAATGATGACAAAATTATCATTGTTTGGTGAATTATTCCTTTAAACATGCAATAATAAGGCCTAGGGTTGTGCCGATAGATGATAGTATCGTGTAGATAGTCAGAGATATCGCCTGTGGGCTGTGGCTGATGCCACTGACAATAGCAATTATTATTATTATTATTATTATTATCATATTAGTAATACTATCTAATTAATATGAGGGCTTATTTGTTCCATTATATTTCTTTTTCCGCGTTTTAACAGTGTTGCGTTATAACCAATCACACACGATTATGTTATGTTTATGAATGCAATGGCCAATCAGAGACGTTCAGATGAGTCATCGCTGAAACCGCGGAGTTTCGTTGTTCAGCGCGCGCTGACTGAATTCTGACTCGCAAATTCTTTCATCATAAACAACAAAGTGCAGATGTACGCGTGATGTAAGTATAAGAGATTTATTCACCATACAGTGTAGATAGCTTCACTGATTTTAACGGGAGTGTATTTTAAAGTGCATAAACTCGCACTAGACTGAGCTTGTGATGATGTTCTTTGGTAATGTAAATGGTCTTTGCTCATTTTCTGTAGCTGCTTTTTGAATAACTGAGGAAATATAAGCATTATAATTAGTAACTTACAATATTTCTATTGAATTGTTATCATGTTAAATAGAAATTCAGTCACATTAACTCTTTCCCCGCCAGCATTTTTGAAAAAAGTTTTTTCATGATTTTCACTAAAATTTGATGGCCTCTAGTATATTTTGCTGTATGAATATTTGAATATGCAATACACCAAAATAAAGATCAGAGCCTCTACTTTTAAACAAAAAAAAATCAGTTTTATTCTAGCTTAAAGCATTCTTTTTTTATCAACACTTGAATATAGGTAGGTTTCATAAAAAAAATCATTATTTTGAGCAAAAAGGTGAGAAAATCACATTTTTATCAAAAACTACATCTGAATAATATTCAGTACGATTATCAAAGCATAAGTCCAGTAAATCGCTTCCATCAATGCCTCCAAAGCTTGCACAGACATATACCACTTCCTGGATCAACATTTTACTCTGTAACATTATGCAGTTTTCATTTATATGCTGTCTATTGCTGATGATCGCATTCTTTTTCATATGTATCTGTTTACATAAGAGATCGCTCGTTTCGCCGTCCTGGTCATGTGTGTTTTTTTTCGGGAGGTTTTGTACTCGTTCAGAAGATGTGTAATAATGCCCCCGAGTGTACAACAGTGAAAACATGAAAAGCCGTAAAAACTCGTCTTTGGCGGGGAAGCGTTTTCTTCTAAAAGACGAGAGAACTCGTCAATGGCGGGGAAAGAGTTAAAAAGGCTGTTTTTAGCCTTACGCTGGAGTTGGTTCACTTTCCGGCAATGAAACGAAATAAATAAATAATTAAATAAATTAACACGATAATATCGTGTATCAGCGATCTCGCAGGCTAACGATAGGATGATATGAAAATTGAGCATATCGCCCAAAACTAGAAAGGACATGTCACCAAAATGTAGCATATTGTTGAAAATTACATACATAGCACACAAATATTCTAAACACTGAATTTCTTCTCTTTTTGTACTCCGGCCGAAGCGTTTGATCAGCATATGAAATAAACACACTTCAGAACACACACACAGGCCAAAACTACTTCACTTACAACTTTGACTGTGATTCCCTCAGATCACTTCATCTCCACAGGGAACTGTTTAATTTACCTTCTTAGTCTGTTTAGATTTATATTCAATCTGTCATTCTTGAAGGTAAACTCACCCTGGCCTTCTGCATTCATTATGCGTTCATGGAAAAAGGGAGCCATCTCGACTACAAACCCTTCTCTTTACAAAAACAGCCCAAACATGGTTCTCTCGCACAATGTGTGAAATGTTCCTTGTGAATCTTTGATATGACACCTAAACCAAACTGGAAACTTACGTGTACTTTAATGTTGTTACTAACAGCTAGGAAATGCAGTCATAATTGGGTCTTTTTTTACAGTTTAGTGCCACTGAAAGTGGAATATAGGCTTTTACTTCTCCCCGATTGGGTTATTGTAATTCTTATATCCTAAAATCACTTTTCAGTATCTCTAAATTGAAAGAGAGCAGTACTCCACTTCTAGAGTTTCGGCTATTTCTTCTTTCTGATTAAATTACTGTAATTCTTCTATTCCAGATGAGGTCACTTAAAGGGTTAGTTCACCCAAAAATTTAAATTGGCTTGTGCTTTACTCACCCTCGAAGCATCCTAGGTGTATATGACATTCTTCTTTCAGACGAATCCAGTCGGAGTTATATTAAAAATTGTCCTGGCTATTCCAAGCTCTATCATTGCAGTCAGCGGGTGTTGCAGTTGAACAGTCCACAAGTCGTCAAATAAAGCACACACATTCATAATAAAACGTGCTTCACACGGCCCCGGGGGGTGAATACAGGCCTCCTGAAGCAAATCCATGTGTTTTTGTAAGAAAAATATCCATATTTCAAATGTAATAAACACTTTTATATCACTTCCGCCAACTGTCATACGCGGAAGCCGTTCCGGCGGATGACGCAGCACGTCGGCGTTGCGTGATAAGTGATGAACGCGGCGAGAGAACCAAACAAAACGCCGGTCACGAATTAGAAGTACAAACCGAAGATTTACAAAGAAAAATGTCGGAGGATTTCGATATAAGCCAAGAGGAGACTGGTTTTCCTTTGCTAAAGTAAGGAAACTTTGCTTCCTTTGCTCCTATTAAACAAACTCGCGAGACTAGCATATCTCAGAGGCGCGTGCGCTGCACATACATCATAAGCCTTCCGCCAGGACGCCTTCCGCGTATGACAGATAACGGAAGTGAGAGAAAAGTGTTTATTACGTTTCAAATATGGATATTTTTCTCACAAAAACGCATGGATTCACAACAGAAGGCCTTTATTCTCCCCCCCGGAACCGTGTGAGGCACGTTTTATTATGAATGC